TAATGAGACCAGTAAGCTAATATTTTCTTGTATACACCGTTATTTAAAATAAAAATTATGACACGCCTGTAAAAAATCAAAATCTATATAAAATATTTGTAAAGTTTCGGGGAAAGCAATTAATATAAAAGCAGAATTATAATTAAAAGTTCTGTTATGAATTATATACATGTAGTTGTTATGAAATTATATTAATGTAAATATACTCTGCAATGTAAAGTGATATACACGTTGTAAGAAAGGTAACTTAAAACTGCTTCATATCATATCATAGAAGCTCTACACTATCACGATATCTTAGAACTGTTTACCATTGTCTTGTAAATTGAACTTGTCAAACCTCTAGAACCCCGATAGAAATAGTAATGACTTTCATTGGATGATTCTAGCAAATACGAAGGCAGATTTGCTCATTGGTTTTACTTGCGGTAATTGCAAAAAGAAATAGAAAAAAAATAACCAACCTACAAGTTCACTTTTAAGTGTGTTTGTTAACAAGATAATTATAAAAATTATATAAAAGATGGATTTTAAACAAACACGTCAAAAAAAAATATTGTAACATTAACATGATCATTTTGTCTATCAGAAATTTTTAAGTAAATTTAAATAGTTAAGAAATCTATTATTTCTCATAGTTTTTCAATAGCACAATTGAATTTAAACAAGAGAATAACGATGGCTTTTCATAAAAGTAAAAAACTGTAATTTATCATTCATGTTTGCACTCTTTATGTCATTGAAATATTGAACGTTTTTGAAACAATATGAATACAGTCAAGTTTTGTCTTTGTTTATGCTTTCAGAAGGAAGCCGAGTTAAACTCGCCTTTAAGATCCAATACATTTATAGTAGTCTTTTCCTCTTCCACTGTAATTTCAATATTTTCATACAGGTGTATTGTCTGTGAAGTCAATGAAAGTATAAGGCTGTTCCTCCATTGAAATGTTTCTGTAAGATTTATCATCCTCTGTACTAGAATAAAATTGATACTAACAATTGTATTATTAACCTTCAAAGCACATATCTTTGCAACATAAACTATCAAGAGTGCAACCAACTTAACAAAAATGCATTACATAACATCTTAAAAGGAATTACACATTTATAAGCTATAACTAACAGCCAATGAAAACTGAACCTAAATGATCTCGTAAATGAACTCACACATTTTGATTATGAGAGAATGTTTAGCCTAAATTTCACCAGTGACTTCACCAGTATATTACAGATATTCTTCTAGAAATTATTACATTGTCAAATGAAAGTTTAATAAACTGTGAAATTCTAAATAAAATAAGGGAGTGTTGACATAATGGCCCAGATCTCCGCCTCTCAACCGAGGAATAGTGGTGGGCTCAAGCCCATCCATGTTGATTGTTGAACACAGATTCTTTGTGAATAAGTTATTATTAAGTTGATTTACCCTAAATGAGTCCTATATTTTGACAATTTATCAATCACCTGTGCAAGAGGCACGTGGAACCATTTCATAACATAATCAATGCAGTGTGCAATGGTGGGACATACACAAGTTATTGCAATGAATTCGCAAATTACAAAATTATTAGGCTTAATTATAAGATAATCCTTTTTAATTTACTAACCATTGTTTTCCCCGCAAGCTTTTTTTCAACAAAATGGCGGAGGCACATGTGTGTACATTTGGAATACTTCTATTTGATCCATACATAGACTTAGACTGTCAAAAAGCAGTAAGCAGTAGGCAGTGAGCAGCAGGCTGTCCAGTTAGCAGTAGGCAGTGAGCAGTAGGCTGTCGTTTATGGAATTCCGTAAATTAAAGTTATTTCGTTCACTTTCTTAAATAATATAATTACCTACGTCACTAAGTATAAAATACTTTGTCTCCCAGACATCAACTCAGTCGATTTAAAGCATCTTATGGGCTTTTTCAGATTTTTTTCATTATTTTCTTAATAAGAATAGAATTTCTTATATTCTGCTTCAGAAAATACGAAATTGTCAATTTTCGATAGAAACTATCTTTCAAAATCCAAAAGAATGGGAGTTGGCAATATAAATGAGCCGTGTCACGACAAAACCAACATAATGGGTTTGCGACCAGCATGGATCCAGACCAGCCCGCGCATCCGCGCAGTCTGATCAGGATCCATGTTGTTCGCTATCAGTTTCTCTACTTGTAATAGGGTTTGTAAGCGAACAGCATGGATCCTGATCAGACTGCGCGGATGCGAAGGCTGGTCTGGATCCATGCTGGTCGCAAACACATTACGTTGGTTTTGTCGTGACGCGGCTCTAATGATTAATTTGGAGACAGACAGATGCCTAGAAAAACCTTCAACATGTCTTGTATGTAAAATCACCAGCGGGCAATTTAATTATTGGTGAGTGAATGAATCAATTTGAAAAATAATTTCATATTAACTGCCGAGCAGTTTTAAAGTTTTTATAGAAGATGAAATCAATGTTTTTAAAACAGATGAAGATAATGTCACTGTATATTTGTCAATACTCACGAATAATAAATAAGGGTTGGGATATTGCTAATACTATTGTCATAGAATAAATGTACAATTATTTCTAATAGTTTAATATTTCTATTTTAAAGATTCCTGCAATTATCATAAGAATATGTATCAATAATATATTTCTGAAAACAAAAATACATCCAAATTACATAACGCAAAATAACGATACTCGTTTCTGCAAAAAAAGCAAGAAAGTGATACTTATGGTACTATAATATGTGACATACGGTTTGCCCGAGTTATCTACATATACGATTCTATTCCTGTCATAACATACAATTTACTTGTAAATCGAAGAAACAGATATGTTACTAACCATAATGTATTGCCATGAAACACATATTTAACAAAAAAGTGCAGTACTCTATTAATACATATTCTTGACAAAAGAAAAGTAAAAAATTCCTTCAGACATACTCATAATGCCGCTATAGGACAAAGATTTCTTTAAAATTATGAATTCTTTAACATACAAATATGGTTACGCCTTTGTATACCGAAAGTTCGGTACGAAAATCATAAACCCATATATACTAATATACTATGTTTTTTTAAACAAAACAAGTTGTGCATGAACAATTTGAGTTTTAAACATGTTACACTGTGCGGACAAAGCTGGTCAAAGGGTAGCAACATCATTTTCCTTATTTTCCTATAAAAGTGTCGCAAATAAAATTGCTTTCCCATTTGTTCCTTCATGCGCTATATTTTCATAACAAAAAGAAACATTATTAGGACTGAAGGTTACTAGTATTACTTTTTATTTCCATTGAGATAACAAAACCAACCTTTTGAATCATTTAAGTTAGGCCCTGCAGGTAACGTTGTTGAATTTTGCTTTTATTCTCACTTTGTTTTAATGGACATATTTGATTCATACTTAAACAAACCGGCACTTATTACAACATCAATATAGAATAATATGTAATATGTAATTTATAAATGACACAGACAAATATGAAATGGTAGAACAATACAGGACACCCTTCTTACCAAAATAGGTGACTCTTGTTTATTAAATCACATTTTGGGACTATGGTAAATTATTGTTTTCTGGGTGACATTACTTGAAATCGCTTAAACCTTTGAGAGTAAGAGTAAAAATGAGCCGTGTCATGACAAAACCAACATAATGGGTTTGCGACCAGCATGGATCCAGACGAGCCTGCGCATCCGCGCAGTCTGATCAGGATCCATGCTGTTCGCTATCAGTTTCTCTACTTATTATTGGGTTTGTAAGCGAACAGCATGGATCCTGATCAGACTGCGCAGGCTGGTCTGGATCCATGCTGGTCGCAAACCCACTTAGTTGGTTTTGTCGTGACGCGGGTCATAAATCGACCATAGTAGAACCCGCATTCACGACCTCTAAATTAGGAGTTCAGTGCTTTATAGCTTTAGCCAACTTTTATAGAACTTTACAGTGTATTTTGAAAAGAGTTATCGAGGTTTCTTAATTTCAAGCACACTTAGATGCAATAGATATTTTCATTTGAATGTTCGGGTACGTTTCACTTCAGATGAAAAGCACCCAGAAATAATACGAGTAAACAATACAATATGTATAGGTTAGAGTGCATATTGGGTGTTCTTCGTAAATAAGAAAGCTAAAAGGGAGCGGAGCTTGCGAAGCGACTGTAGCTTTCTTATTTACGAAGAACATCCAATATGCACTCTAACCGGCTTAGTGCTCCGCCCACTTGCGTTTTATAATATAAAACGTCCAGTTTATATAAAATCTGTTCTATTAAGATTTGTAACCTGAAAATTTGAAAAATCCTCGTCGGTGATTGGCTTAAAAAATTGGCGAGCACTAATTATAAATAGGTTATTTTGGTGTATGATTTTACCAATAATTAATCCTGTTTGGGGTGTATCGTTATAACATTCGTTTAAACTTCATGTATGATGGTGCCATCCAGTTATGAAATTTGGAAATAGTTCCTTAAAAATTTGATGTGCCCCATTTTAAGTCATTTAAAAACTGGTCAGAATTTCAGGTGCATTTCTTGCATCTGTGAAGTTGTTGCCCGAAATTTGGTAAATGTTTTTCCGATCTTATACAAACAAAATTTACCGATATAGCTTCATAGTGCACTATCGTTCACAATATATTAGTCAACCCAAAGTAAGACTATTATGAATCAAAAGACTGATTTACTGCAAAATATACAGGATAAGAATTGAGTAGGCCAACAATAACAAATTACATAAACATTTTATTCAGATCCCTGGGGGAATATTTCGTTCTTGTGAAAATACCCGTGATGAAGTAGGATTTTCTCATTAAGAGTTCCTCACAATGTTTACCAACAGGAGCTTGATAATTGTGTCAATAAATAAAAATTAACGTCGAATATAAACCCCGTTCATTTATTGCATAGGAGGGTGTATACTCGTATTTGACATCAATTCTTATTTATTGACATGATATTAAGCTCCTGTGGCTTATCATGATACAGCTATGTTAATTACTATAATCTAGTAAAGTATATTAAAACAATTTTATTTAGATCTAACATGATGCTTCATCAGTCCCACATGTATCATAACTAAGAAACACAGAAGACAAAATAATTATAAATAAATCACAGTAAGTAAAATATATATTTGAAAAATGTATATACATACCTTTATAATATTTGGATTTCATGCAATGTATAATCTACTAACTGTACAAATACGTAAATCTAAACAGTATTATAATATTGAATAAAATTCTTAAGAAATATTACAATAATGACTAAGTTGATCATTGGTTTGGTCACTCAGTATCAGTTGCACGTAAAGCAAAAACTCAAGTTTGGAACAATCCTAGTCAGATTCGAGGAATTGGCTACAACTCGTCATTACGCCGTCCCGAAGTAGCCCGGTCCTTTTTACCTTTCTTTACACTAGCAGGTGGTGGAGTATGCTTTGGGTCACTTTTTCTCTTTGATTTTTGATTACTGTCACTTTGAGATTTACTACAGCTGCAAGCATTCTCTTGAGCTTTGAGGAAAGCATCACAGCCAAGGGCAACCGTGCCGCCGTACATTATATCAGCACTGCCTTTACAATCTGTAAGAATATACATATACCGTATAAATGCTCCAAATCATTTACAAATATCTCTTCGTGTGTGTAAAAACTTAAATTCCCAATTGATTACTTGAAAGGAACGTGCTATTTAAGTAATTTAGAATCTGCATAACCTATAATGCATTTTTACTAGTAACAGTTTATGTACAGTAGATTCGTACACAATAATGTAAAATACATGCTTTGTAATGGAAATAAAGGCTGTCGCAAAAATAGATCAATAATTTACACTATACCTTTTATGTAACGTTTCATTCAAGAAGATAAAATTGCATATATTTTTAAACAGCTGCAAAGGTTAAATATCTTAAGGCTCGATGTAACCCTAGTTGAAATGATGTACCAAATTTTTCCAAATAAAAGTGAACCAATGTTTTCCAAAAAATAAGAGAAGAAATCTTATACAAAAAATTAGTCAACAAAATCTTAACCAAACCTTTGTATGAAACCCTCGTTGTAGTTTTAAATGCCTTCATTTTATTGCATATGTCGTGTAAACACGTTTTAAAGGCTTTATCACAAGCGGCACGATCTTTGTTACACGTATCATAGCAATAATCATGCTCGTGACAGCAATCCTCCATGCCAGGTATATCATCAGTATCTACCTGAAAGTAAACGTTTAAATGACGAAATGGTAAAAGACCAAAAGAAAGGTGACGTGAGCTTTAATATATCCTGTTGGGTGTTCAAGTGTATATGATTTACTGTCTTAAAAATATTTACATTAAAAACTATACTGGATACTATAATACAGTGTGTATCACAACACTATGTTTATATAGTACGCACTTATAAACACTATTCAGGAATTATTTTAAAACCGAAAGCAGTGCATTAATATAATACATAAGTATTCAACTATAGCTAACTGGATATGTTCCTCACATGAAAGAATCCAAAGTCCCTTGCAGGATTCGAACCTACAGCGGTGAGGGGCAAGTGGTCTGAAGTCAACGACCTCACAAATCTCTTAAGTAGCGAATTGGTATTATCGAAATATTAGTAATATTATGTTATTGTTTTATATACAACACCATTATTACATTCCTGAACCAGTTTTTAAGCGCCTCCGTTTACCTTGTAAGATCAAATAAATTTACAGTAAAGTTTAAGTTTTAAAATACTGGGTTATTATTACTGATAAATGATTTTATTATCGAAACAAATCGATTTTTGGCTGTGTAAATAAGATAAAATCAGTCGTTGCAATTAGACTGGTCTCTGTAAAAAGAAAAATTACAACGGTAGCTAATTAAGGCCAACTATTTATGTGTTGCAAATTATACGATACCTAAATACATATTAGATTATGAATAGTTTACCTTTATTCCGCTTGAACCACACCCATTTGAAGTCGGCTTGTGCTCCGTCTTTGCTACAGGTTTATTGCCTAAAATTATTAGTAAGGAAAATACACATAGGAAATAAGTAAGGCGCGTTAAACATTTTGCATTATATATATTAAACCTGATGATTACTTATTACTGCAAGTAGGAGTAATATTATATATCAAATGAAACGCACGTGCGGGTGTTTCTAAATGCGCTCATTGGGTTCAAGTCCTATTTCAGTAAAACGACTGACAAATTCAATAATATATGATTTAATATTAAAATGAATTTCCATGCTTTGATACGAAAAAAATCGTGTTGACAGCACTATTCAACATCTGTAGATTTTATGTATTGATATTTTACCATGCGTAAAAAAGTACATACCATTTTTACACTGGTATTTACACTCGCCACCTCCAAACATGCCAGCCAGCATTTCTACCGCGGAGCCAAAGTCCTCCTCCTCCTTACTGCCATCCTCGGGGTTAGATTTCCTCCCTTTAGCACGAGGTTTGTCTATCACAGGATCTTCTCCCTTGCCAATGCCATTAATAGCCTTGTCTATTTCCCTGAGTTTTGCATCAATATCTAATTTTTCAATGTCGGAAAAGAAATCACCACTTACAAATGTTAAGTGAAATATTGAAATATATATTAAAGCTAAGCGCAAAGCCATTTTATGAAAAAATAATACAGATCTATATCTTAAATGTTAATAATACATGTTTCGATTAGCTTGTTTATGTTCTATTTTAAGAACAGGAAGTATGAACATGTGCATTTTATTCATGGTGTCACAGGCGCTTATTCTATTGACGAGCCAATGTCTGCTTCTACATAACTCAGATTTCCATAAGACGTAGCGTAAATCTATTGGTCTTTGTATATTTGCGATATTGGAATTTGTTAAATCTTTTAGTTTATTCAAGTGTATGTACTTTGACAGTGTATATTTATTACTTGTCAATGACATTTTAAACTACGTGCAGAAAATTGTAAACAATCAAGCAGACGATTTTTTAAGTGGGATTATTAAGCATTTTAGTTTTGTATCCTAGTATGGGGACCTTTATACATACATGCACAGTGCGTTAAGTGGAGTGGTTTCCCGAACTCCAGAGCATGCCCATTGATTGGCTCATTTTTGCTGGGGGTTTACTTATTGTGACGACAGAGAAAGGGAACGCCGTAGAAATATCATATTCTGATGCTCGTTCATTGGTTACTGTTTTTCTGGGGTTTCATATTGTGACAACAGGAAACCGGATTAATACTCGGGGCCTACGCCCCTCGTACAAATCAGATAGCCTCGTACGTTTTTCGATGCTCTTTCTATTACTTAATACAGTTTGCATCACGATTATTGCACGGCAATCATGGGAGTGATAATGTATATTTGTCTAAATTCTCTTTGTGTGAACTGTTCTAAAGCAGCAAATTTAAATTTATATGTGGGGGATGTTTGGTAGGGGTTTCCGTCGCACAAACACGGTATAGGTCATATGTCGACTTTCCAGCTTTACTGGCGGAGAAAGCCCTCAGGTGCCCTGTCGTGCATTATTTCAGGCACTCGTAGATAATTGAGTTGAGCCCTCAATCTTCTGTAAGCGAGATGAACAGCTGCGTCACATGAGAGAATCCAAAGTCCCTGTCGGGATTCGAACCCACTGCTGTGAGGGGCAAGTGGTTTGAAGCCAATAACCATGTTCGAGGGTGATTGAGAAATTTGCAGTCTCATATAAATATTTGATCAGCGTTTTCCTTTATTAGTCGTGCAGTTCATGCCAGGTCTTTCAATTTGGAAGGGCCTGTACAGTTGCAGTACAAACGCGTTTAAAATATCATTTTTTTATTCTCAATGTAGTGTTTTTAATTTTTATACAAGTATAGCACGCACTGCAAATAGAAAACGTCTTCATGCACGTGAAATAAATTTGCAGTTAGAGAACAAAGTTTCGTTTATCACAACAATTGTGCAAGGAGATCAATATGTACATTGAGTTCACGAACAACAAGTGGTTTCATTGTAATATTCAGAGTAACTAGCAGTTCATCCATATATATGAAAACCACATTCTATATATTTATATGTTCAGATCGACTAAACAAGTTCTTATAAAACAACAAAACCCAAAATGGAGTAACCAGTTTTTGTTCCTTTTTATTTATTCTCATTTATAACAAATGCACCAAGATTTCAAAATAATAACCATCTATAATAAATAATGAAAATAATAATGTACATAACCTTTCACTATATTACATACACACCATGACATCTTTATAATATTTTCTACTGCAATATTAATTAGCAAATTAATTTTAGTTATTTAACTCCTGTAGAGAATAAATACCAATGTTCACAGGATTTAGTTTAACTCCCCTATGTACATTGTAAATATCAATGTTATCATGAATTGATTCAACTTCCATAAACATTTTATAAATTTCGTTAACGTAAGGTAGTACACCCCTAATAAAGTACCTGAAAAATATTAACAACAATGTTGAGTCGCATTCTGAAGGCCACTTGTAGGCAAAATTGAAGCAAAATATATCTACTGTATTTTTTTACTTAATGGAAACTTTTCTGAATGTAACCATACAAGTTAAATTATTGTTTATACTCTAAAAAAAGTTTGAAATATATAAAAGAGCAACATTGTCAAAAAGTACGTCACAAATGCTCAGTCCCTTAATAGTGACCATTCACATTAAAATTTTTCAATTCATGATGACTGTATAGACAACAGGTTTTTTTCTGATCATGGACCACTGCATATGACTTTGGCCACAGGGAGGTGAATTTTATGCAGAATACTGTGTCTTGCAAATTAACAATGTTAAAAGTTTGTGCCAAGTCATATACATGTATTATTACCTCAATGCATGTATAAAGTTAAATTATCAAATACTCTTCAAAGTGGAGGTGATGTATTAGGTAATATACTAACTTAACAATAAGGAATTACAATACAGAACATTCATAGAGATAAAAGTTGTTACATACACATTGTACAAGCATTCCCTTGAAGTGAATATTGAAAATCGTACAAAACATCATATATCTTCAATAGTTAAGTATTTGAGATATTCCGAAAGAGGTTTTAGGTATATAGACTGAAAATCAAAGTGTTCACATATGGACAAACAATGGTATTACTTTATGCATTTTTGCTAATAGTAAAAGAACTATATGCCTGTTTTAAGCATTTGACTGACTTATATACATACATAGGTATAAGCAGATAATTATTCCCAGTTTTAACTTAACAACAAAAATCTTGGGTGTTCCTCTTGGCAGTGTTTAGGGTCACAAGGAGGTTGTTTGGTAGAAACCGACAACTAATTGTTTGGCTAAGATAACAAAAATGTAATGGAGCAATCACCATTTAACTTGTTGTTTGACTGAGAACACAGAAATGTAAATGGAACAACCCTATTGTTATTATGACAGTTAATTTATTTTCCACTGATGACATGACAGTGACATGATCCTATATCTTCATCATTTCTTCCCTGGAATACAATAAAATATCTTACAGCAACACGTTAACATTCATAATGTAAGCAAAATTATCCTTTCCTTAAACATGTCTTAACAATATTTGTAGAGATTTCACTCAGTTTCTGACATATTCAAACATATTTAATACTGAGCTATGAAAGAAGACTTCTTAAAAACTTTATTTTAAGATATTTTCCGAGTCCATTATCATACTTAATAAATTTACTGTTCCAAAATGCTAACATTCAATTTATAATCTTAATTATTTCTAGTTAATTTCTTAGAAGTATTTCAATACTTAAATTATTCTATTTATCCTTTATCTATTCAATATTATAAAAAATGCACTTACCAACTTTAAACCATTTAGGGACATTTTTATCTGGCTTTTGTCCTGATGATTTTGATGATGATGATGATGATGAATAGTTGGCTGGTTTCTTTCCTTTCGATGATGATGACTGTTCAGATGATGATGATAATTCAACCTCATTATTCAGTCCATTTAAACTGTAACAAGTTCATAAAAACAAGCTTTTCACTTAAAATGACATTTGCCAAAGGAGTATTCTAAAAACACAAGAAACAAGGCTGGAAATTGTCCCTAAATCGCTCACCTGAGAACATCATGATATTGTTTAAAATGCAAGCTAATGAAAACTGTAACCAGGACTAGTAAATTTTCAAAGTTAACAGGACATATTGTTCTGTGAATAAAATCCACAATCCCTGTATCACAAATTGAACAGCAAAGAATAACCAGATCTTTTTTACAGTTTTCCTTATAGAAACCTATTTAACACTGATTACCCTGAGACGGGGCCAATTTTGATATTTTGCATTACAGAGGAGTAGAGTTATAACTATATTCAAACATGTATAATGGGTACTACATCTCCCTCCATCCCAGGGCCAAACAGTGTAAGATGTCCACTAGACAATGTTTCATGACATATTATAGTTGTAGCCCTTGTGATTTCAGAAAAGAAGATTTTTTTTAAGTTTTTACCACATACACAAAAGGAAAACACAATCATGTCCCTTCAGGCATAGCATTTTTGACACCAGGATCAATATTTGTAAAATTTTCGTAGAGTTCCGCAAGATAATGTGTCAAGCTAAATATCTAAGCTTTGTACTTAAGGGTTTCAGAAAAGTTTTTACTATACATACATCTAAAGAAAACCCATCACCTTCAGGTCGGGGCCAATTAAAAGGACCTCTAGATGATGTGACATACAATGCATCAATTCGCAGCCCTGGGCCGTGTAAAATTAAACATTAAGATTACAATTTTAACCCATTTTTGGCCCTGTGACCAAATTTGAAAAATTTGGATCACTTAGAATAGTTCCTATGAAGTTTGGTCAAAGTCATTAAACAGTTTTTCAGAGGAGATGCTGTTAAAAAGAAATTGTTCAGAATGCATGACAACCATAGTCTAAGGGAGATCACAAAAGATCACCATAGGCTTGTTGTGTAGATATATTGAGATAGCCTAATAAATGTTATATATACAAAGTGTATATAAGAATTATACAATTAACATAGGAACTGCTTTCATTACATACTAGTAACACATTGTTTTCCACATAAAAAATCAAGAATTGGTGAATTATTTAACAAAAATTATCTAAACAATTATGAAAATTCTTAAGGCTTACCACTCTGCCACTAGTATGTCAGCTTGTAATTTAGGTGATATCTCGGACAAGACTGCCTCAGATAAATAATGATCTGAAATTATGATATATATTATTAATTATTATTATTATTATTATTAATATATGTGACAAGCTCAGCGATTTTTGGCCCAAATGTGATATTTGGGCGAAAATGAGTTATGACTAGTTTGTGGTAGAACAACATCTGCTGAATAGCTGGAAACAATTATTTTTAAAAAATACTTGATATTTTATGAAATATTCTAATTTGTATGACATCACCATAACAACAAAAAATACATTTTTAACTTTTATTGGTATATACAAATTAGAAATAATTCCATAGTTATACACAATAAAATAAAATAAAAAAAAAGTGAACATTCATCTTAGTGTAATATAATGTAATATCTTGATATAAAAACAATCGTTTGTTTTCAAAAAATCGGTTGCCATGGCAACAAAAATATAAAAAAATCAAATGCAATATTTTTGCACTTAACATGATTAATTCATCACCAAAATAATGCATATATTATATTAAAAGACAATAATATTAAAGACTTTTCAGAAAAAAAAAGGATTTTTCTTTTTACCCTTTAATAGCTATTGATATTAACTTTAAACATCAGAATTAAATTCTCAGAATTACAGTAACTTTTCCATGATTAAGGTTAATATCATAACTTTAGTTAGTCAACTTTAAAATGCACATCTATAACATGATAGCATATAAAATATGAATCCAATGCAAAACAAATATTCTTTAATGCACTGATTGCAAAAATGGTGTATTTTGGTTGCCATGGTAACAAAAATAATGCAAAAATAACTGAATGATTTAAAATAATTGCATTTTATAAAAAAATATTCCTTTTCACAATAACTTCAAAAGTCTTTCAGAATTTTAACCAAAAAAAAAAAATAGAAAGGGCTTGCACTAGTTATGTTCCTGACTAAATTTTCAGTTACAGATATTGACAGTGTAATCATATTCTGATTAGTGTGTTTTAAATTGTATAATATGAATAACATATTAGTATATTTTTAAATTGAAATAATTTCAATTAATTTAAAACAATTACAATAATAGATTCTAGCAATCACATGGGAAGTCACAAATGAGAGTTCATTTATGTCCTTGAATTATAGTCTTGCAACCCCATGTTGAGGGTTTGACCCAAACAGGGTAATAGCAACAATGTCTCCTCATATGTCTTCAGTTTTTGTAAGCAAAAAGTGATTCATATATAAAACTTGTTTCACAATTAAGTAAAAATATTGTAACACCTCCCACAGTAGTATTCAGCTTTTTTAGGGATACTTCTAAAGACAAATTCTATGAGAATGTAATTCACTTTTGGTATACTGTCAAACATAGACAAATCATTGACTTCTCACATGCCATCCTGAAATAACAAAAACCTGAATAAGTATAAATGAAACAATATAGTGTATATGATGATTTGACTACAAGATAGTGTATATGATATTTGACTGAACAGAAATGAACTATAAGTAAATTGTTGTATAGTGTTGCACAGCTATTGGGTTCATATAATGTCTTGTTCATCATGTAAGTTCTTGTGTAATATATTACAGTCTATATATCATGTACAAATGGCAGTAACATTCATCTTGAACATGACTAAAATAATCTAAATCTACATATGTGCATGTATTGTGGTTGGAACACCGCACTCTTTATTTCAAAAGTAAAGAGAATGTGGAATATTGCATAAATAAACATGCTTACCCAATTGAAGTGTTTTTTATCTTGACCATTACAGTACAGTTGATACAAGTGATTGTCTTTTTTACTCCATAACCCTGGTGCTCAATAGGGCATAGAACTATGTCACACATTGTGCCTCATTTCCAACAATAGTTTAGTATATTCATCCGCAAATAGGTGAACTATCTATGTGTTCTGAAAATTATGTATATATTTTTTAAGAGCTTAACATTATTGACAGAGTATTTGCATAAAACAATACAGCATTATTTTTAAATATAAACTTAAAATTTAGTTCATGTTACTGTACAGAGTTATGTAATTTTAAAACAATATTTTTAAGATCTCATCTGACATCATATATAAAATGCTAAATTGCAAATAAGTTACATTACTTTCAACTGCATTTCAGGAAATTAATCAATATCATTATTTGATAAAAAGGGTTGAGAATGGTCAGTTTATGATGATTATTTACATATGTATACAAAGATTACATTCATAGTAAATCATTTGATCTTTAAACCAAGTATCAAAACACTTACAAGTACATTTCCTTGAAGAATATGGCTCCAACATGCTGGATAATCATATCATCTACTTCAAAACTCTGATGAACTAAGTTGAAGATCTTAAATGTATGTTGGCTGTCAGACCTAAAACAAAAACACAAAATATTTCATCAGCAAAAAGTGCTGGCTCATGAATGTTAAAAATATCCTGGTAGCAGGGCTTCTGTTATTAAAGTTTTGGAGTCATTTACACCTTGATTTTGACTTCAAAAATGTAATGCTTTTCCTTCTTTGCCTACAAAGTGACTTCCAATTACATACATTTTATAGTCTTTGACTGCCAATGTTTGGAATTTAATGGAAACCCTGCTGGTAGAATATGCTATGTGGTATGAGTAATGTGAATATAATATGATTTATTGTAGATACTACCAAAGGCAAAGGGCTAATAAAAATAATTGCATTTTAATATTTATCTATGGTCAGTGGTCAAATCTTCAATCACAGTACTAGATCTATTATTTGTATTTCAAAAGCAGCATGCAGTACAGGAATAACATTTCCTTTACTAAATTGATCTTGAATTGTAATAGAAATTCATTTGTCAATAATTACAGTACTGTACTGAAGCCTTGTCATATATTTCCTTTTTTAAAAATATCTTATACAGTATAAATCTACTTGATGTAGATCTAGATTCTATGTCAAGCTCATTCATTGTAAACAAATTGCAAAATATGTTATGTGTCCAATTACATTTTTTGTCAGTGATGTAGAAAAGATAATGTAAACAAAAATGAAGTGGCAACTTTTGTTTTATTTTTTCTTTTATTGCAGCCTTGACTTCAATTTATTTTGTAATGTAATCAATGTCTTATTTAGAAAAAAAGTTAACAATAACTTTCTATAAAGACCATGACAAATACAAATCGAGTGCAATATACAATGTATCCCCAAAAAATTTGTCTGCCATGACCTGACCCAGATGCCGGCCATGTTTTTTTTTAATATATAAACCAGTGCAAGAGTCATGGTCCCATTTATTTAATTGTTTAAAGTTAAAATACGATGATTATTCATATTCAACATATCAGAAAAAAATAATGAACAGAAAAAGCATAAATAATAAAATATGCACATACCTTTATATTTATTTAAACCTCCAAATATGCAGTAACATGACGTAAAAGGTAGTGAATCTACATGTGTTTACTCGCTGACCTTTGGGAAATGTTTATCGTGGAAGCTGAGAAGGGCTGTTCAAAAAGTATTTTTTATTTCTTTCTAGTTTATTTTATTCTTTCTACTTTCAAAGATACTCTGTTTTGAAGGGAAACCCTAAAATTAAGACATGAAAACTCGCGTGACTTTACAAGCGTTTTTCTCACAATGATTAAAAACTCAATTGGGCCAAAAATCGCTGAGCGCGTCACATATATATTAAAGGATTCATGCTAATTTTCATGATAATTTTGGAAATGTATTTTTAAAAGCGAACTAAGAAAGTAATGAACATATTGCAAACAACCCAAATAAATTACCAAAATGAGGTCAACATATGAAAATGATGTCCTTACTGCAATAGTCACACAATAGTATGGTGATAAATACTATAAAATCAGTCTCAAATCACACTTAACATGTAAAATATTTTGCTTGAATCTTGAATTATCCTTTCACTTTTCTAAAGACCTTAGTACATTTTTGTTAAGTGTGATTTTCTTGAAATATTATGGTTCATCTGGAGACATGCAGCTTCAAGGTTTGAAGAAGCCAGAATTATTTACTACAGTAATTTCTGAAATATTCTAAATGATCTACTGATAACATACAGTATACATGAACTTGTGTGATCTGACTGAAGTGCTTTGAAACAAGTAAGATAAGTAATATAGCTTAACCCTTAACCTTCTGAATTTGTTTAAAAATTTAGCCTTCCTTGAATTTGGCACAGTCCATTCAAAGTTTAAGAGATTTCAATAAAGAAACAAGGCTACCAACAGTAAAGAGCCTGGTCAGATTGCCCGGTCTATATATTGGTGGCAAAAATTGATCACTTCTAGACTCAGTAGGTTAAGGTTTTATTACATAAGTAAAAGTGTTACGGAATCATTTACTACTATAGATATTTATTTACCTTTTTGCTGTTCACTGCCGAAGTAAATCACAGTTGCTGGTACAAGACGTGCCTGAAATCACAATTTATTACATTACATAATATTGATCACATGAATGCAAGATCTGCATAAATATTACAATAACTTTTTCCATGGGAAATAAATTTAAAATTCTCATAATAACACCTAACATTTATAACAAGACTAGAAAATACATCCGTAGAAGCTCCACTGTTAAACACTGTTAAACAATTTTTAAATGTAAGTCAATAATCAATTTTATCCTCTGTAATCTGGACCCTATCAACTGAAAGTCCATTCTGAGAAACTGAATAATATTTTATTTTTACTTTATTATTAATAAAGAACAGTACTAGAGAAGAGAGGTAAGTAAGTTGAACAGAAGGAATATCTTTAATTACATAACCTAATGGAGTATAAAACAATGAGAAGTTGTCAATATAGAAATAAAGCCACAGGTACGACTCTTACCTCTATCAATGTGGCTGTATCATCTTTGAGAACATTTTTGGGTGGGGCAGTATCTGGACAAATAAAAATACAAAGTTTAAGAAGTGATTTTGTTGGTACAAATCTTGAAGACATGATTTTATACCTCTTTTGTAGAGGACCACAAGGTGATGCTAAATATCTAAGCTCTCCAAGTTGTAGTTTCTGAGAAGAAGGTTTTTATAGTTAGTTTCCAATGCAAGTCCATGTAACAAAAATAACCTAAATCAAATAATTTTTAAAAGGTTTAAACAAAAAATATATTATATGTAAATAATTATGTGCAATGAAATGATGAAAAGTAACTTACACAGGTAAAATGGCATACTTTTATCTTCTAGGTGTTCTTTAACAAACTTTTTGATAGCAAAAACTGAAATGCAAATGTAAATAAACACCTTTATACAGTCTTATTAATAGGGATGGCAATGAATACCAAAATCAATACTCGAGTACTCAGTCATTTTTCCGATCGAGTACTCGGTTACTCTGATAATTTCCAATGATCTTCAAAGTTTTATCCCCACCTGTATGCTACTTTGTTTTCTATATAAATTCATAGAATTTGTAAATATAACAAAGACTGCAAGGGAGGTAACTTAGAATTTACCAATAAACTAATTAAAATGAAATCAACATTATATTTTACAATGTAATAATTAATGCAATATCAAGTACACCAATCTTTCTAAATCGCAAAAATAAAGAAATTATATATTTTTTTCTGAATAAGCGTATATCAATTTTGTTAACTGATATATTTTGGCGTTTGATCGAGTACTCGGTTAATCAGTTACTCGTTGCCATCCCTACTTATTATTAAGCAAAAACGTAATAAAAAAATACAATTGAAAAAGCCTAAATTGTTATAAAAACTGCATATATTAAACCCTTAACCTCCTTGAACTGTAAGTTATAATCCTTTGACACTAGTATAACACCAGGTAATCCTAGAAATCCTTGCAGTTCGACCAGACGCTACTGGTTGTATATTTTTTCTATAACTGAAAACCCTTAAACTTTAAATAGACTGTTCCAAATTCAAATCAAGGCAAACTCATTTCTCTAAATCAGCATGTTAAAGGTGTAAGACAATATCATAGTGTACCTGTTTCTCTAGGTCTAAAGAGGCCCTGTAGTGTAAGTTTATCATGAAACTGTATACGTATTATAACTGTCTCATATTTACTGTACTCCGACTCAAATTTAGCCTTTCTCATAGCTGATGTCATCAGTGGCTGATCCTCCATTTCTTGTCTATAAATAGTAACAAGAACAATATATCAATAATGTCAGGAAAAGGAGACTTGCTTAACTGGACTTTCCTTACTATTTGAACCCATTCACCTCTAGTTCAAACACTGATAGAAAAAAGCAAATCATCAAAGTATTGCAAGCAGTACAAAAGTCCCTTACTGGTTAGAACCCCAGCAACATTCTGCAGGGCCATGGCCATTCAATTATGCAATTGTCGAAAACATGAATGAACTTTAATCTTTTGAGTTCTTAGTTTGTCTGTACCATATTAATGTGTTAAGTTTCCCTGCCTAGTTAGGAAATTATGTTTATACAACAGATAATCAAAAGATCCAATTTTGTCAGGATGAGTATGTAAAACTTATGTTTCAACTTTTCTCTATTTCAAGTAAATTTACTAAAGATGCTAGACTTTTAAACATTGTCAAACATGATGTGAGTGATGACAAAGAATCTAAAAAAGATACCATTTATAGTAAGAAAGAAGAAACGTGAAAAAAAACCCACAACTTTCAAATAAATTCAAAGGTCAAAATGAAAATAATCATAGAAACCCAAGAGCAAGACTTACAAGTCTAATCAAATTTGATGTAGGAGTTGATAATGATTATATATTTGAGATTTGAAGTAAATCCATGAAGAATTAATAAAGTTATAGAATAAATAAGGAAAATTCAATGTTTAAGTGCGAGATAATTCTAGAAATAATGGACTTTAGATTTATAAACCTTATTATTATGATGTGGGAGTTTGAAATTTGAAGAAAATCCTATAAGAAATGAAAAAAAAAATATAATATAAAAATCTAAGTGGGACATAATTTGAGAAATAGTCAAACATGATTTGAGTAATAAAGATCATAAACTTGAGGTTTGAAGTAGATACCTTAAAAAAAATAAGTTATTGGAACCAAACAATAACTCTCTTAAGAATAAGTACTTACAAGCGTTTTTGTTGAGCTGTAAACAGACTCTTTAAATCAGCATCTGTATGCTCGAAGAAATCATCTGGTAAATCTATGTTTAACAAAAAATATACATTTATAATAAAACAATTCACTCTACATTTTAACATTTGATTGTCTTAAAATCATGTTTATACCAAAGGAAGGTACATTAATTTATAATGTCTCTATATAAAAGTTCATGTTAAATCACAATAACATGGCACTTACTGTTATACAAAATCTTCATTCTTGAATGCATGAAACATGATAATTTATTTAAATTCAATTATAATCAAAGCTTAAAGCTTATTTGTCTAGTGCTTTACTACTCGTTCTGGAAAAAAACAGAACTGGTGACTTGTGGGATAACATGCTTGCAAATCCAGTAGGACTTAATACAGTGGTCCAAGAGTTTTTTGAGATGCAGAGAAACAAAGCCGTTATTTCCAACTAAACAATCATAGGTCAATGCAATTTGCATACAATACGATTGATCCACTACAACAATCATGGATTTACTTATCTTTTGGGGTTTTTTTGGTTTGGCTTAACATTGCATCAATACAGTAGAAGTCACATGGAGACTTTCCAGCTTACTGGGGGAGGCAGATCTTAGGTGCCCTCCTGTACATTTTTTACAGGCACAAACAAGCACCAGAGTAGAACGATCAACATTCTGTAAGCTAGTTGGATAGCATTCTCTCATGAAGAATCCAAAGAATCTGGCATGGCTCAAACCTACAGCGGTGAGAGGTAAGTGGCTTGAAGTCAAGAACATAAACCACTGTGCCAAGGATGCCCCCTTCACACATCTACAGGGTACCACTTAGTAAATTAAGTGTAACAAGAAGCAACTTACCGCTATCTTGTTGTTCACTAGCTTCTTTCGTCACAACACGCTCTTCAAAATTGAACACTTTGATTTTTCTATCACATGGCTGTAATGTAATGTTTTGACACCCATTATAATATAGAATATTTTACAGGTATAATATATTCCAGCATATTGATAATTTACCTTAATTGTATACCAAAAACAGTTTGGAGAAGGCTATACTGGAATCACTTTGTTGTCTGTTTGTCCATCTTCATTGTGTACGTCTTTCAGATCTCTTAAATCGCAACAGCCAATCAGCATGTCTCTACCGTGTTTGCCTTTCAAATTTCTTGAATCCTTAACCTCTCAGAGGACTTTGAAACTCAGCTCAAATGTCAAAACTCGACAAGATAATGTGCAGGGCCTTTGACATCTAAGTCCCCACTCAAGGTCAAAGTCACACTTGAAAGTTAAATGTCAGATAGCCAATTTCTCAGTGAGCGTGATTTTCTTCAAACTTGGCTCAAATGTCCACCTGAACAAGGTGACTGGCAGAACTCATGCCATACTTGTGTTAGCTCAAGTTCAAGGTCACATTGAAAGTTAAATGCAAGAGAGCAAATTCCGCCTTGTCTGCTTAGTAACTCCTATACCATTTGAAGAGAGCTAAAATATTCACATCAAAACGGTTATGTGCAGAACCTGCTGTGCTGGCACAATGCCAAGATCACAACTGAAGGTCAAATGTTTGGGAAAAATCCCATGAGGAGTATAGTAGTTATACAGAGGAAACAAAATTATATGACATATGACCATCAAAAATGACCTTGACTTTCAAGGTTGACTTTGAGCCAGCATAGTGGCAGCAATGGTTTCACACATCACCTTGTTGAGGTGATCATTGACAAGTTTGAAGAAAATCTTTCAGAATAGGATCTATAGAGCAGAATCAAAATTCTCTAACATTTGGGTTGAAACCTTGACCTTGGGCTGGCACATTGTCTTGTAAAGGTGGACATTTGAGTCAAGTTCAAGGAAAATCCTTCAATGGGTATAGGATTTATGGAGCAGGCACAAAATTTGGTCACAGACTGACCGTTGCAAAGTGATTCCAGTGTCAAGCTTCCCACCTCCTTAATCTTGTGGTGTGTGTCTATAATTACCTACCTGAAATTCTTCCTTTCTCACAGCACTGAAATAGAAAATAAATGATTTACATATATATCTAAATAATATTTAAATTTCCTCTACAAATGTGTTAATTATTTCATTTTCATCTACAAAGTATTTTGTGGAGGTGTGCTGCTTTTAAATTGCACCAACACTGGTCAGATTACTAAGAAACTTTAGAAGACCATGCAAAAATGGTTGATCAGAAAACTAAATTGCTACCATCAACCATTTGCAAGATGCCTTTCATCAATGTTCTTCAATGAAAACAATTAACCATCCCTAGAGATACTAGAACATACAGTGGTACAGGGTGAAATAATTGAAACATCTACCTTGCCTACACTTATTAATAATGTTATAACATTATACAAAACAACAACGGAGATTACCTCATTTCATTATTGTAAAGATTCTGTCCCTTTGTTGATTCAGGAAACTGTAGGAAATATCAAAGAATATCATTATCTTTTAGTCAGAAGTGATTTCTAGCAATGGAAATGTACATTTTTCTGTCTGTAATATTAACAAATAATATCAACAAAAACTCAGCAATTTCGTTTTTTTATAATAAAAAAATTTTAAATAAATAAATCTACAGCTAACTCATGTTATCTCAGTCGCCGGGATCTAAGAAAAAATGCAGGGTAATGAAATGTCAAGATAAACAATGGCAGACAAAAAATAATGGACGAGAATTAATTACTTGAGATAAACGAAGGATTATAGTATGAAAGTAACAAAGTAACTAATGGGTCTGAAATTTCACTTCAAGATACTGAAAAAAAAAAAATCTATATAGATAAAGAAGGAAACAAACTGGTCACTTTTAAACTTTGATCCGAGAAATTTGATGTCAAGATAACAATAGTTAACTGTATTACAAAGGTAAGACCTTGAAATTAGAAAATTGTTGTTGTTGTTGTTGTTGTCTTGGTTTGATTTGTTTCTGTTTAGCAGCACCTGGAGGTTGCTGTTGGTTCATAGTAAGTCCCTGTGCTCCCATGTTTGCGAAGAATGACTGCGCAAGCCTCCTTGCAACCTAAAATATATGTATATGACATACATTTATTGTATATTACATAAATCTGTTGTATATGACATACATTTGTTGTATATTACATAAATCTGTTGTATATGACATAAATCTGTTGTATATGACATACATTTGTTGTATATTACATAAATCTGTTGTATATGACATAAATCTGTTGTATATATCATACATTTCTTGTATATGACATACATTTGTAGTATATGACATACATTTGTTGTATATTACATATATCTGTTGTATATGACATAAATCTGTTGTATATGACATACATTTGTTGTATATTACACAAATCTGTTGTATATGACATAAATCTGTTGTATATATCATACATTTCTTGTATATGACATACATTTGTAGTATATGACATACATTTGTTGTATATGACATAAATCTGTTGTATATGACATAAATCTGTTGTATATGACATACATTTGTTGTATATTACATAAATCTGTTGTATATGACATAAATCTGTTGTATATGACATACATTTGTTGTATATTACATAAATCTGTTGTATATGACATAAATCTGTTGTATATGACATACATTTGTTGTATATTACATAAATCTGTTGTATATGACATAAATCTGTTGTATATGACATACATTTGTTGTATATTACATAAATCTGTTGTATATGACATAAATATGTTGTATATGACATACATTTGTTGTATATTACATAAATCTGTTGTATATTACATACATTTGTTGTATATTACATACATTTGTTGTATATTACATACATTTGTTGTATATTACATACATTTGTTGTATAAAAAAGATCTTAATTTATACCTGCTGTTGCTCTGGTGATAAATCATTGAAGTCATCTGGAGTGAACACCTCTATACCTGGTACACTTCTTAAATACTCGATATTTGATTGGCTGGGTGGCACTGGTTCCAACTGTCTTGAACCTATAAATATACAAAGAGATATATAAATTCTAAAGAAAGTGTCCAAACTAAACTATTTTTTTTTCCAATGCAAGAGGCTGCTGTAGGTTTCCATAATTTATCATTAAAAATTAATGCATCCAACACTTAAAATTAAACAATGGTTTAGTTTCTATTTTAAAAGTCAACAACTTTTCCAATCTGTGATAATCACATTAGCTAGGAAAAATTAATGCTATTTTTATGAAGAAAAACAGATTATCTTTAACCCGACAAATGTAAAGAAAAAAATTAAATAACTTATAAACTAAAAACCTAAGCACAAGATTGCATTTTTGTCCCCATAGCATTTCATCTGATTTTTATTTTTCTTGGGTCAGTGTTAACCCTTTCGCTGCCAGAGGTTTATTCATTTATTGACCACCTATTTGCCAGAAGGTTTTCTAAGAAATTACTATATCATTAATTAATATAATTATTATTATTTGTTATAAGTATTATAATTATTATATATGTTTCCAAATTTGCTAGTATATAATAATTATTGTCGATGGTATAATTATCTTTATATTTATTATTATATATTATTATTATTATAGAAACGGCAAAAGCCGTCCATATGGCAAATACGCCGAAAATAATAGGGACGGCATATGCCGTCCCTATGGCAGTGAAAGGGTTAATTTCAAATGGCAATTTTCAACTGTTCCTTTTTAAGATGGTAACAGGTACTGTATGTATTATCTAAGACTAATGAGCAGAACTAATTATCTGAGAGCTACATATACAACTTGTCAGTGTCACTGTGAAAACAGCAAATTACTTTAAAATGAAAACTGCATCAAAGACAATTGTTGTAGTCAAACAAGAGCTATTACCCAGCAGAGCCCATTCTTGAGTTTTTTCTTTTTTCTGTATAGTCAGGGGAAGAATATTATAGTAAAGATAAATTCACCAAAGCATTTTTTGTAACAAATGAAATTCAAACTTTAAATTTTATCTTGATGGGCATTGGCATTTAAAGGTCAAAGTCACATTTGAATTAATCAGTATGTCTGTTGCATGTGTTATTTTGCCCAAAAATGAATCAAATCCACAAATAAATAGCAAAGTTATGAGAATTTAAGCAAATTTCAATTATTGTGACTTTGACAGTCAAGGTCAATTAAGGGTCAAGGTCACATCAGAATAATTCAACATGTTGGTTTCGTCATATGTGTTATTTTGTCCAAGTATGAATCAAATCTTTAAATAAATTATAACAAAGTTATGACAAACTTAATTTGACCTCCTACTATGAAGATGATTGTTACCTGCTTGAATAGTTTCAGTACTTGATGACACAGCATCTTCAGTTTCCATTACATTCTCTCCAGCCTTGAGGCTGCTCAACTTCCATTGGTTCAGAGAGATCATGTGACACAACAGTCTCCTCCTCCAACTTCACTACTTTGGGAGAAGGTTCTTCAGGGCTTGCTTTAGGACTTGTTTTCTGTGCTGTGGTTGGTTTATTGTCATTTTGAATGTTTACATTGATATTTAGAGATATTGTGGTATTCTCGGTTTTCACCTGAGCACTAGTCTCGTTACCTAGGTTACTTTGTGATTCAACTGACATGGATGATTGAACATTGGTTGAAGAGTTAGAGGAGGAGGAGGACATTGGACTGTTCTGTTTTGATGAGGCCTGGTCAAGTCTAGCTTTACGCAGTTTCTCTTTTTCAAACTTGTTAGCTATGTCTGTCAGAGTTTTGTCATCTACAGGCCTGTGAAAGCAATCTGTGTGGACACAATAAGATAATGACCAATATTGTAAACATATTAAAAATAGCAACATAATATTTTGTTTCGAAACATTTTATTCAGTTCACATATAATATTCAAAAGAATCATGCATATTAAATTACAGAGACATTCTATGTCATCATCTTTCAAGAAATAGGTTCATGAAAACAACCTTATTTTTTTCTGTTTTTAAATTGTTTTTTAAATAATTAATTAGATATAGCTAGTAATTAATCAGATATAGCTTTATAAACTTTAAAAATCACAATGAGAAATGATGGAAGACAAACCTTATCGCAGCTTTTCCACCAGTCAGACCGAGGGTTCGCAGTTTGGTCTCTCGTAAAGCTAGTTCACCAACTACCTCCTCTCTCATATAAATACACACTGGATGTAAGGCGGGGCTTTGTGTACTGTCTACAAATGTCAGCTTTCCTTTATGGCCACTAAAGTAAAAAAACAAGCATAATAAATTTATTTAACACTCATTCTCTTGACTTTTCTTCCAACTTCTCACTTCACTTTACCTTTCCATTTTTTTTAAATCCCTTTGCAAGTAGTTATCCAAGTGTGCCCTGAGGAAAGTTTTGAAAATGTAACATTAGATCACCTCAGATACATTGCTAGAAAAGATTAAAGCCACCCCTCCACCACAAAAAAACCCGCAAACTTTTTAAATTTATCTTAACATAAAAGAGGTAAATAAACAAAACTTTGTATATAACGATTAGACATGATATACGTGTGGTATAATTTATAATAAGATGGATTGTTGTCTCTGTTCCCAAATTTTCACCTCTACATGTGTACATGTGTATCAGTTTGACAGTTTTCCGCCATGTTAAACTGTACAGTGATTTTTTTCACTGTATTTTACAGCCGAATAAAGGCTGTTTCCCCTAGCCCAAAATAAATATATTTTCCACTAAAAATGCTAATATTTTCCCCTAAAATGCCTTGTGCTCTTCCATACCAGAACCATGACTTAACAGCATCTGACTTATATCATCTAGAAGACAGAAATCTGTCCCTATATATAGCCTCTGCTATGTACCATGCATGTTAAATTGAATTGATACTATTTTTTTCATAAAATGTGTGGATTAATTGGATTTTCAGTTGCTGGAATTTGATTTCAGGGTTTCCCCCTTTTTTGATTTATCACGCTGTACATGTATTTTCCCCTTCAGAAAGCCAAAGGTTGTTTTGAAAATTGGAAAAAAAATCACTGCTGTAAATAAATCGCTTAAGGTGAGAATGCTCTCCAAACTTACACATTCATTGTATGTCAATAAATAATGATTTTATTAGAAAAGTTTAAATATCTATTCATATTTTTTTAGCGTAAATTACCTTGACCTAGACCCTAGTGAACCAAGGAGCATGAAACAAAATTATGATTAGAAACCAAAACTACCTTTGTTTTATATAGTAAATACATGTACCTATCAGTCCTGGTTCTCCCAGTGCAGTAATAATCCCATAGACTGGTTCCTGAAAAATGAGTGTTGCAAGCTGTTCCCGTCCCCTTAACTGAAGAGCAATCAGTACCTCAGTTTTCACACGAAGATTTCTCTGCTTTCACTAACTCAAGTTTGGCATTGTTAGGCAAATTTGCATACCTTACAGATAATGTTAAATCTAGAGTGTTTCTACCATGTCTGAAAATAAAGATAAATAGTTATACAATTTCAAGACAATACTAGTACATTGACTATGAATGAATGATTATATAATCTTATTTAATAATTTTGATATTAAATTTTTTAATACTTAAGATGTTGAAATAATTATGCTGTTTTTTTTTTTTCAAAATGTTGTACATGTATATTTTTTATAGCTTTTTATTTATATGATAAGAGTATATGCTGGGATTGACAAATATACAATTAAGTTTGATTTTAAGGCATTTCGAGCTCCACACTTCAAGTGTCTGTGAAATGATGTACATTTTGTAATTTACTAACTAGTAGATCTAGACAGAAATAAAATCACACATTTAACAGCCTTACATTAGTTTATAGTCCTCTGGTGGAAGAAATTTCTGTTTCTGACAAACTTCCTCTAGCACCTATAAATATAACAGAAGTACAAGCCTACATAGAGGAAATTGATATATCAATAAATTTGGGGTTTACTGTAAACAGTTTGTGAACTGCTAATAATTTCTTCCCTTCTTTAAAAACACCCAAGCCTGACGTCAGGAAATGTCTATTTTTATATATAACAATATGTGATTACATTTGAGAAACATTTAACTTAGACAGATCTACATAGATCAACAGGAAACTAACAACGCATTTTTATCCGAAATAAAACTATCCGAAATGCATAAGTTTGATTAATATAAGTTGTATACTAAAAGAAAGTTACCTGCAGAAGTTTTGAATTTGGTGTAATTTTGATATTTTGTCTTCTTCCGTTAGGACATAATACCTGCAGTGTCGACATATTTAAGAAGAAATAATGTGAAAATTTCGTCTTCAATTTCAGTACGGTGTCGTTTAAAGTTGATTTCGTGAGAACTGCACAAAACGAATCCCACGAATTCATCATAAAGGGAGGTAAGACAGTGCTTTTTTTAACTAAGTTCGTATTGAGTGACGTACCTTAGATTCGCAACATGTTCAACAAGCTTCACATTTGTGTCATGTTAATTTTAAAATCACTGTTGACTTGTGGGCCGCACAAGATTTTCTTACTTCTGACCTTTGACCTTTAAGAGTTACATTGACCTTGTTGAAAATGGTAATGGAAATTGGGGAGGCACACTTAATGTGTATATTCTAGTTGTGGTAGACTAACTGCGTCCCGGAAAGTGAACTATGAAATCCATCAATTTCCTATTCGTGAAATGTCCGGACTGAAAAAAAGGACATTGACCATTATTTTTTCAAGTACATTGCGTACTTATGACCTATGACCTATTTATGGCCTATGACCTGGTATGTATACATTTAAATTAGGCCTAATTCCAATGAAAAAAAATAATAGAACCGTTTCCAGTTTGAGAAATTAAAACAGGATAGATCTTACACTTAGATATTTTACGTAGTTTTGATATCGTAGTTGGTGTTAACAAGTGTTCATAATTAAACATCGACTGAATTAAGCACGTGCATTCATAAAACGTTGTGGGATAGGTGGTGTGGTTTAGTTACTAATGATGCACTACCCTCTGGACAAGGTATGTGGCTACAGTTTCACTGCTTTCTAATCATTTACCGTATATATTATATTAATTAACTCGACGTTATAATAGTGTTGTCAACAAGATTTCTAAAACTAGCTTGCAACGGAGGTAAAAGATCGAAATGACGTCTCTTTCAAATTCATTATATTTGTTATATTTTTATTTATAATTCATTTCTTTTCCCTGAGGGAAGCTCGTTTAAAATGTTTGCCATATAGGCCGGGTAGCTTTTAAAAGGTCTTCAGCATACCCGTTTATATACTAAGACATTGTATAAGTTATTCTGGTTAAGTTTTGTAACGGGTCTGATCCAAAACTTAAATGCCGCATCAGACGAAAAACAAACATGTTAAAATGCGGCTTAGCCAGAACTAGCCACAGGGGGTCCAGAAGTGTTCAACAGGTTTTGAATTTCTTCAGTACACATGGCCTACCATATTTCTCCGCTCCCTAGATTGATAATTAACGATGCATGCGACTAATTATCATCATACCGTATCGTAATTTTGAAACTGATAAGTTAGTCCAGACATGGTACATGCTTGTTCAAAAAACTTTTTTCCATAACCATCATTTTTACCATATTTTCCGTGTTGAACGCAGTCAAAACAAATTTCATGAATCACCCGATTATAGTTTATCGTAATTATGTTCCGTGGTTTATTTAATTAGAATAAAAAATTCTGTTTTAGTATAATAGTTTCCCAGTCTCGGGAAAAAAAACATTCGTTCATCACAAAAACAGCTATATTTACCGGAAGTGACATGATAACTATATCATTGCCCAATTGCCAATTGGCATTTCCAATGCATTGTACATAATTATGATATATATTTTACTTTTGAGAAATTCAAAAAATGGTATTGCAGCCTGTTTATTACAAAACAGAGTATGTTGGGTTTTTTTCAATTCGACCACATCACTCCTCGTCAAAATACCTATGTTGTTTATGAGGAGACCATATACACAAGTTTTCCATATTAACAATAAATTTGATATGTCTGTGTTTGATGCACGTGTTATAACATATGTTATAAATACAGTAAAACCTGTTTGCCAAAGACCAGTGTGATCATCCGGAGTTATATGATGTCTAAACATACATTAAAGATACATTAATACATGTAGGATCTGGTGGTTCTTGGCATAATATAGATATACAGTCTGGAATACAATATTTGTTCTTCTAGACACATCAGGGCTAATTAAACCACATTATTCGGAATCGAAACGGGAATAAATAAAAAGATCACATGACTTTTTGAGGCGGTACGTAATTAAGATCGCAATGTGCTAAATTGTTTTAAATACTGTTCTTTTCTTCTTACTTTTGCTTGTAAAGTATCAGAATTTCCATTAAAAAGCAATGCACAGCGTTAATATCTCTATAATTTCTAACTTATGTTCTTACGTTTATTTAGTACGAAAAAAATCAATACAGGTGAGTTTTATTCTCGAGGAGATCAAAGTTATTCAGAGAGGAACGCCGATATAAACCTGTCTGCGATGGAATCCTCTTATAAGTTCTATATTGTTATTCATTTATTGTTTTACAGAGTTTTTGTTTCATATAGATTTTAACCATTTTGTAGACAAAATATACATGCATAACATGGAATTGATTTTTCAGTCTTTCGACCCGAAAATCGATACTAGTTGGATACGGCATTTTATTAGGAAAAGTACGGTAGCTGATAAAAAAAGATAAATTGATGAGTCTATGAAAAAGAAGTGGAGTGTATATATACCTCATAAATACGCTCTTCCTGTATATCTTGTAACCTTTCCGGAGTTTTTTCGTTAATGGATTATATATTCAAACATTAGGTAAGTTTTTTTACTCTTAAATTACGCTAAATTTGTATTGTGTTGTAAGACTTATATTTTTCATTTTCACAGCAGACGAAAAATTCATTTACAGCAGACGAGATTCATTTTCACAATAAGTATGTGATATTTCTAATACTAGCATCAGCATCATATTGAAGCCTGCTCACATATGGTATATGTTTCTATGATTAAGGCTAATCAGGGTCTCAATTTTACCTCGCTTCTGTCTTGGTATAGTCCCAAATCGTATATTAACCGATTAGTAGGCTCATATTGTCAAAACTTAACCCCAGTATTTTAGTATCAAGTAACTTCAACGCCCTTTCGTCATGTTTTGTTAATATCAACTTAAAACCAGCTTTTAATATAGCAGTTTCGTAAGTGATATAAAATATGCCTTTGATCAGATATGTAGTTTATCTTAAAATAAAACATGGAAATCGAATTTGCAGATGATAAGTTTCACGTGTTACAAAAACCGTCATATGTAAGAGTAATTTAATAATAAATGTGGAAATGTACTGGGTTAAAATTCGTGAAAAGTGCATCACAAGAAAAGAGAAAAATGTGAATTGAATGTAACTCGTGCAAGTTTCCCTCCATTCTGCAGACGACCGGAAAAGTAAGGTTGTTAACAGGTCTGGATTTTATGAAACCACCTGCTTACTTCCCAACAGTTAATTAAAACGAAATGAAATGTGTTAGTATTTCAAAAATAAATTATGATATTATAAAATTGAAGTATAATGTGTTGTGAAAGCCAAGTTGAAAGCCATCCTAAATCACGTGTGTAGCAAGGGAAACAAAATACCCCCATCTTCAATTCACGTAAAAGTTTTTATTTATTCCTTTCCATTGTTTTTTATTTGAACTTTGCACTGTAACTAACGTTAAAACGAATTTGCTCGGGTGATACGTTACCCAAGACGCTGACCTGTTTCCATGATGTATAAAAAAACAACATCCTAGCTAACATTCAAGCAATTTTATCTAATTTCCTTACTATCCATGCAATTCCAGGCTCCATTTCGTCTTATAAATATTGATGTCGTTGTCGTCGATGGGTGGAATATAGTTTCTGAATAGTCCGCTCGTCTGTTTGTTTGTCAGTTTATATTTAAAGATAACTTAAATGTGCTGCACGTCACTCATAAGAATTAGGACTTCAGCTCAAAGGTCAAGGTCACACTTGTGCGTTATACAAGAATACAAGTCATGATTGTCAACAGATGATGGTGTTTGTGCATAACTTTGTTAGCATAAATTTGCAGACGGCATATAGTGAACAAGATCCAGCTCTACAGGCAAAAGGTCAAGGTCAAATTTGAATGTCGGAAGTCAAACGCATTGGTCTTATTGCGAGTCATATCCCAACCATTCCCTTGATAGAAGCCGACATGGATAACTTGTGCAGAAGAAGAAAGCATTTACATATAAAAATTGTCTCTGATTAAAAGAAAGACAACATTATACAGGCACAAGTAAAAGTATTAGATGATTTTAAATCTTCAAAATAATTTGAAAAAAAAGGTTTTTCAATATGTGTTTTTGCCAATTTAGAGAAGTTAAGATAGGGGCACAACTATGTGCATTAAAATCCCTTATAATCGTAATTTACCGTGGAACCCTTTTCCATCGTAATCAATACGTGCTTTGAGTAGATAAAACTAAACTCTATAGCATTCAAAATCTTGATATATAAGCTTAATCTGTATTAATAGAATAGATAAAAGGAGACAATTTGATCGATTTGGTCTGTCATTCTTTATTCATTCTAGGATTTTAAAATCACTAAATCACAAATATGCGTTATATAATTCCACGGTGTGTCAATTTGTTTGTATGTCGGTTTGCTAAACCAAAAATAAAATTCAAAATATTGCGCATCACATATAACATGCATATTATTGAAAGTAAAAGAGGAAGAATTTTTAAGTTCAAATAGAAAAAACAATGCAAAGGAATAAATAAAAACTTTTACGTGAATTGAAGATGGGCGTATTTTGTTTCCCATTGCTACACAAGTGATTTCTTATGTATTCGAAGAGAGGATAACTCTGTTACAAACTTTAAGTTGAAGACTTACTAGCCTTTACAACATACATGACATACCTCGAGATGAGTGTTTTAAGTTTTA